GTTGTGTGGGAAAGCAGGGCTTTTCCCTGCTGAGGGTCCTTCCTACTCCCTCCGAGCCAGGACTGAGTCCCTGGGTCTCCCACAGCCCAGGGGACTGGCTCTGTAAGGCTTCCCACCTGCTGTCCAACCCCTTTGATGCTTTCCAGATGACTGCATTTGTAATAAGAGAGTTCCTTTAAAAGTAACACCTGCAAGGCCCTGACCGCCTGGGACACACGTTCACTCCCACTCTACCTGACACCCAGGCGGCAGAGGCACTGCCCAGGGACTGTAGAGTGAGGAAGAGGGGAGCCAGAGACAAGAGGGGAGAGGGGCTAAGGAGCAGTCTGGCGCCTTCCTGCCTCGCTCTTCTCAACTTTTCATCACTAACCTTTAAAAAAATAACATTTTCACATAGAGATCCTTCAAAAAGCATAGTGCATATTGTCAGGCTTTCTTAAATAGAAGTCTTGAATCTAATTTAATCTTCTATAACGCAGAACCCAAATGAGGAGTTTCAATGACTATACTCAGACTAACAAATCCGCAGGTAGAGGGCGCAATATAAAAGACACTCAGCTATGTGACCCTAGGCAAGGTAAGGAACTGCTCTTAGCCTCAGTTTCCTCATCTGTAAAATGGGAATAATCATAGCACCATTGTGCTCCCAACATTGTTGTGAGTTCCAAATGAGATAACATATGTAAAAAAGCACTTGACAAACCTTGAATTCTATCAAAATGTTTAATAATAATAATATAGTGAATGACCCAAGATTTTTTGAATTCTGGTGTCTTTTTTTTTTATAATTTTTATTTTCTCCTTAGATGTCATTCCTGCAATCAGGGTTAAGTGACTTACCCAGGGTCACACAGCTAATAAGTGTCAAGTGTCTGAGGCCACATTTGAACTCATTTCCTCCTGACTCTAAGGCCAGAGTTCTATCTACTGTGCCACCTAGCTACCCCTTAGATGTCATTTCTTCCTGAAATTAGTGGGACTTCTTCTAGCACAGTGATTCTTCCATACACACACATATGCATAATATTTTTTCACATTTTAAAAACAAATTTAAGTTCCAAATTCTCTTCCTCCCACCCATCCTCCACCCATAGAGAAGGCAAGAAATGCAGCACAGTGATTCTTAAGCTGGGGTCCATGAACTTTAAAAAATAACTTCTTTGTTAACTCTATACTGTAATTGGTTACCTTTCTAATCTGATTTATTTATGCATTTGAAAACATTCTGAGAGTGGGTCCATAGATTTCAACAGACTGAAAAGGGGTTCAGGGCACATTCAAAAAGGTTAAAACGCCCTGTTCTAGCTGACCTTGCCTAACTTTCTAATTCTAACCTGCCCAGGGTCACACAGCTAATAAGTTTCCAAGGCCAGATTTGAAATCAGGAAAATGAGTCTCCCTGACTCCAGGCCCAGAGCTCTATCCACTACCCACTTAGCTGCCCCAGACAATGTGTACACATGTAAATATAAGGGAAGCAACCAGGTAAGCTCCCATCCCCTTAACTGGAGCCGGGGCCACTTCCTTTGCTAAAGCACTTGGTGATTTGGGATAATGGAGCAAACCGGGTGTAGCCTGGGTTACATCTTGGTGATGGGGGTGGGGGTGGAGGTGGGTTGTGAACAAACCTACAGCACTATAGAAGGGGGGGTGCTTTTGCTCTCCCTCTGTCTTCTTTTTTGTCTCTAGAATATGTACTTCCTCTCCCTCTCTCCTCCTCCCCCCACCAGGCACTCCCAAGCACTGGAGAACTCACATGTGCACTCACACACACATGCATACACACACACAGACACACACACACACACATATCCCTTGACGGGTAGGGTGCAAATGATCACTGTTCACACGTGACAAGTGAGCAGGTGTTTAGCTAGGTGAGCTTGACCCCTGGGTTTGGCCTTCTGGCTGCCTCTTCTACTTTGTGTATCTTTCCCTGAGCAAAGATGGCTAAGCAGTAATCCTGGGATGGGTGTTTCTAGCCTTGGAGGCAGCCATGTGAGTACAAGAGGACAGGAGCCATTTGCTCCCTCAGTCTGTGCCAGCTGCACTCTGGGAGGTGTCCCCTACGGCTATTATAGTGCCTCTTGGAGGAGAAGGCAATCACCAACAGAGGGGAGTGCCTACCCCCTGGCATAGTTTGCTACAAGACAAAAAACCTGAAGGAGATTGTGCTGAGTTGAGCGGAAGGTGAAGTGCCCATCCAGCATTAGTGTCAATCTCCTGGGAGAGTTTAAGAGTAATTCCAAGTTTCTTCATGCATTGGTCAATGCAAGCTTGTGACTGTTTTGTATTCTAAGCATTTCTTTGATACTGGGAGAAACAAATAGCTGTCCTATACCTGATCTACATTGTAGATTGAGGGCCTTTCTACACTCTTTTGGGGCATACTAGACATGAGCTAAACCTACATAGGGTGATTTCCCCCAAGGATACTGAGTGGGAGCATGAGTGAGAGAAAGGTCTGCCTCTTTTAGGTCCAGGTTCTTCAAGAAGGAAGTAAGAAAGGAAGAAAAGAAGGGAGGGAGGAAGGAGAGAAGGAAGCATTTATTTAGCGCCCCCCATTGGCTGGACACTGTGCTATATAAGCACTTTACAAATATATTATTCAATCTTCACAACAAACCTGGGAGGTAGGTACTATTATGATCCCCATTTTAGAATTGAGGAAACCATGGCAGACAGAGGTTAAGTGACTCGCCCAAGGTCATACAGCTTATTGTCTGAGGTGGATTTGAACTTAGGCTTTCCTGACTTTAAAAGCGACTAGGTGGTGCAGTGGATAGAGTACCATGCCTGCAATCTGGAAGACTCATCTTCCTGAGTTCAAATCTGGCCTCAGACACTTACTAGCTGTGTGACCCTGGGTAAGTCACTTTTAACTCTGCCTCTCTGCAATTTCCACCTCCCCTCTAGGGCCAAGCTGAACAAAGCTAATCCCTCTTACACATCCCAGCCTTTCCAGTACTTGAAAACAGTTATCATGTCCCCTGAGTCTGTTTCTCGGGCCAAATGTCTCCATTGTCTTCACCCTCTTCTCATATAGAAATAAGCGAGTATTTTAAGGGCCAGCAGTGGGATTGCAAAGACAAAAATAAAACATACCCTGCCCTCAAGAAGTTCATATTCTATTAGGGGAAGGCAGCATACGCATGTGTAAATATATGTGTGTGCAGGGGTTTTCTTGGTGGAGATACTGGCGTGGTTTGACATTCCTCCAGTCCATTTTACAGATGAGGAAACTGACGCAAACCGGGTTCAGTGACTTGCCCAGTGCCACACAGCTAGTAAGTGTCTAAGGCTAGATTTGAAGTCAGGAAGGTGATTCTTCCTGTTTGCAGCCTGGTGCTCTGTGCACTGTGGCGCCACCTAGTGGTCCCTTAGATAACATAGAAGAGCTCATATTTGAGAGGCAAGCGGTAGGGACTGGGTTTGTGTCAGGAACTCTTGGAAGCTCCCTCTACCAATGTAGGTGGGCACTTTTTCCGCAACCCGTTCAGTCAGAGAGTTGCCTAGAGCCCTGAGAGGTGAAGCAATGCTTGTACTGGATCCTAGAAGTAACAGTCAACCAGCATTTATTAAGCACTAACTGTTTGCCTGACACTGGAGACAAAGTCAAAACAAAAAACTGCACCAGCAAAAGCAGCCCCTGCCCTCCAGGAGCTCACATTCTAATTCACATGGGACGATTCGGTCGGCCCAGCACTTGGCCGCTACGGGGAGGGCGAGTTGGTCGCCTTTCTCTGGAAGCTCTCCGGTTTCTCAATGTCCTTCTTCAGTTCGGGTTCTCAGTACCGAACTCAATACTCTAGATATCATGTGACCAGGACCCTTCTTGAACTCAGCTCCCCCCACTGGTTCTACCCACCCCTCCCCCTCAGGAGAGGGAGCCCATCTAATGAACACTTGTCCAAATCCTTTGGAGGAACTCAGGCACTTGGGACAGATGAGATGGATGCCCCCGATATTTGGATAATTATAAATATTTAGCCTTTCTGGGGCTTCTGCTCATTCCAACTGGAACCCAAAAGCAAAACAGAGGAGGGGAAAGAAGGAAAAATGAAGTGTTGGAGGCTGAGCAAAGTACAGATGAAATGCAAATAGGTCCTCCAAATCCCCATGCTTTGGGCTGTAAAAAGCTGACCACCCACCGGCAAACTTTATGATCGACTTTTTCCACTGCTGGAGTGGAGTGGTTGTCCTGTAATGGAGGGAGGGAGGCAGGGGAGCAAAAGAAAAAGTAGAGAAGGGGAAGGACTGAAAGTGGAAAACAGAAAAACTCCACGTGACATTCAGGGTCTCATGTCATTATTTGACACATGAAAACATTCCTTCCTTCCTCCCCTCCCCCTGCACCCCCAGCCTCAGGGGGCCTGAGATCCTTCTCACTGTCAGACACCACACACAAAAGAAATCCCAGCTCCAGAAAGGAGTTTCTGTCCATTTCACATGTTAAATAAGGTGGGGAAAGGACAACACGACTCCCAGTGTTAACTGCACTCTAGACAGCTCTGGGGTATTGGGGTGGGGTGGGGAAGAGGGAGGGTGGAAATTGAGGTTGTGCCGTTACTCAGTGAGTCTTTCTTTTCTCTATTCCTTCATCCCCTCTGGCTTTCCAGCCACTCTCCCCAGGCAGCAAACTTGACCCCAAAGAGGCTTCACTTAATGAAGAAGTCGCCAAACGTTCCGCAGAGCACCCCGATTCCTCACACCAACAAACATACCTCAGAGGGCTCTCCCATGAGGCAAGTCTCTAGAAAGACTCCACATCACGGTATGATTCAATAGGCTAAGCTAAGCTGCCCACAAAACCGGTGGGTGGATAGGGGGTGAAGGTGGGGGGCAGCTATTAATGAGAATTTGGTCTCAGCCCGCTTTCTGATGAACTGACAAGGTCTCTATATCATTCTCCCTTTGAGCCCCTCCCCGCCTCTCCCCACCCCTTCTGCACTGTAACAGCTTTATGCTCTGGGTTTATTTAGGGTGACGGATATAATTACTTTCTGCTGCCGTGTTGTTCTTTTTTAAAATCTAAGAATCAATCAGGCTCTCTCCACACTCTGCCCTCCCCAATGGCGCCGCCTCATCTGCTACTCCTCCAGACTGGACTCCATCCCTTCCAGCCGTCCGCAGCCCGAGTGAGCGTCCAAGGGAACGAAAGGCCACGGGGAGCATTAATAAGAGGGCCTTTATACACACCTGGAGGAAAAAACCCGCGTTAATGTGCAGGAAAGGGAGAATATAACATTTAGAAAAAAAAAAAGATAAGGTGGAGAAAAGCTGAGGACTCCGGCTCCAAGCCCCAGCCGTCCCACCACGTTGACTGCGGCGGCGCTCTGACAGTGGGGCTGTTATTCATAACCAAGTTTCCTCTCTCACAAAGGACCTTTTGCATGGTTTTTCCTCCTGCCTCAAAAACAGCTGCTCTCAATGTTGTATCCTGAGTGATGATGAGGCTCTGAAAGTGTTTTGGGGGAACAGATGGCCAGGGGAGAGCTGGGGAATGTGCCAGCAGAGGGCCAGGGCAGGCGGCCAAATCCTTCAGTGACTGAGTCCTTTTGGTTCCAGCTCGCGTGCCTTTCCCCTGCCCTCTGCCCTCAGTGGCGCCAGGAGAACTTCCCAACCAGCGTTCTGAACATCTGGAGTCTGCGACTGCCAGGAGGGGGGTGGAGGGGGAGAGAGGCGGAGGGGAGGGGAAGGGAGAGGGGGAAAAAAAAAAACCCTCTCTGCTCCAGCTCAGCTCCTATGTACTCCATAGCGTTACTGACTAACAGAACAACTAATCGAAACCAAAAGCGGCCCAAATGAGAAGCAGGCCGGCGCCCCAGCTGCCGCCAGATGCAAGGCTGCTTCTAGCGGGGCTACTCCGGAGAAATGGGGCGGGTTTTGCTAGGGGCTTTAAGACACCCGCCCTATTGTCTCCCTCCGCTCCCCCCCCCAAACTGGAGTCAGAGATGGCCCCAACTCTGGTGGGGTACCCTACCCCCCCAATGCTCCAGGGTGAAAGGCTTTCATCAAAGCATGCGGGTTTCTCTACAGTGCAGCCCGGAGGGGAGGGGGCTGCAGAGTGGGGGCCGCTGTAAGGGAGAGGGGAGCTCGAGAGGCTTCAGTGTTGGGGCAGCCCAGCAGAGTTGGGATAATAGACGCATTGCTTATAAGGGAGAGCTGAGGGCAGGGAGGGGGCGCCTGGAAAGGAAAACCAGAAGGGTGTATGGGAAAAGACCACTGGGGTCAGAGAAACTGGATTCTAACGCCAGCTCTGCGTACTTCAATTCCATTCACCCGATTCAATGCAATCCACTTGTATTAAGCTTAATTTATTCTCTATTAGAAATGAAGAGGCAGAAGCAAGAAGTCCTCCCTTCAAGCAGTTTACACTCGGCCGGTAGAACTGGCAACTGCTTGGTCATGGGACTTGGGTAGGGTGAGGGAAAGAGAAAGGACGACACTAACCTGGGGCACTGGAAGAATCAGAGCCTAGAAGAATGGTGAGAGGGAGGGAGGGAGACAGAGAGGCAGGGTGAAGGAAAGAGGAAGGGAGAGGGGGAGAGAAGAGAGAAGAGACACAGAATGCCGCACAGAAAAGAGAGAAATTTTATTAAGCATTTACTCTATGCCAGGCACTGTGCTAAGCATATATAGATTTAGAGCTTAAAGGGAATTCAAAGATCAGCTCCAGTCCTCTCCTTTTACAGGTCCTATACTGAGGCCCAGAGAATTTAAGAAAGTGATGTCCTCGAGAGAAATGAGGAAGTTTGAGGGGGCAGACAATGAGTTTGGGATGCCCCCAGGACATCTGCAAAGATATGAAGAAAGATGAGGGACCCACTATGGGCACAGCAAGCGGACAGGAAGGAGCCAGGAAAACCCAGGTTCAAGTTCTTAAGTTGCAGATCTGTGAAGGGTTTGTCCATACAGAGAATTCCCTACACCTACAAAATCACACTCTTGTTGAGGGAGCTATGAGGTTTAGACAAGATACATCAGACAAGATATATTAGATAAAGATGAAGTCCCAGCCCTCACAGAGAAACACAAATAATGCTAATACCCAACTCTGCCAATTGAGGCAGCCCATCTTTACATTAGGTTAGTCTTTTTTTTTTCATTAGGTTAGTCTTAGAGAGTCTCTTGGCTCACCCAGAGGTTTTAAGTGACTTGCCCAGGGTCTCACAATTTGAGTCAGAGGTGGGACTTGAACCCGGCATACACAATTACATGAAAAATGCATTAGAAAGCCACAAAACTAAACGTGAGTGACTTCAGGCAAGCCAAGTTCCCTTGGACCAGTTTTCTACTCCATGAAAAGAGGGTCCTGGACTAGATGACCTCTAAGTTTCTTTGGCTTCTACATTTCCAAAAGGGTCAGAGGCTGAGGGGAGGGGAGTGAGGAAATGGGAGGCAAAGGCTCTGGAGGCAGACGGAACAATGTTGGAGGGCTGATGGGGTGTTTGCTTCCACGTGTATTTTAGTATCCTTTTAAAGCTGTATCCATTCAGTCTTTAGCACGCTAGCTTGACTTGCGTGTGTGCCTCTGAAACTGTGGGGATCGTGTACATTTCAAAGCAGTGGGTGTGCATTTCACTAAGGATGTCTGTATTTCTTGGATCACTTGTGTCAGCTAATCACTGTGTGTATCCTGTGGTTTGTTACTTGTGTTGTTTTCTGAGTAGGAACTCCTCAGCACGTCCCTCTCCCTCCGTGGCTATCTGTGTCTCTGCCTCTGTCTCCCTCTCTCTGTCTCTTTCTTTCTCTTTCTCTATCTCCCTGTGTATCTGTGTCTTCCTTGATGTCTCTTTCTTTCTCCTCTATCTCCATCTCTCTCAATTAGGCACATCCATCCATATGGAAGGGAGAGTGGGCAGGAGGGGTTCTGAATAGAAAAATAGAAAAAAGACAACTTCCTCTAAACCCAAATTCCCCTAAAAATTGATGAATACATACACTGGAACAGATCAGAAATGTACAATGGAAACCTGAGGGAGTGTGACATGGTAGGGAAAGCATTACATCTGAAGTCAAAAGCCCTGATACATCTGAAGTCAAAAGCCCTGAGTTCAAATCTCAGTTCTGCCCCTTACCAGCTTTGTGCCTGAGGCAAAGTCTCTGGATCTCTGTTTCTTTAACTGTACAACAAGGGGCCTGGATTAGATGACCTAGAAGGTTTCAACCTTAAATCCCATGGATCCCAGGCTTGCCACCTACTTCTTGTGTGACTTCCATAAATTTCAAGCTAAAAGGGAACTGGGAGGTCATCTAATCATAGGATCATAAAATCTAAATTTGGAAGGGTCCTCAGAGACCATCTAATCCAACCGGTCATTTTACAGATAAGGAAACTGAGGCCCTGAGAGATGAAGACTTCTTTAAAGTCATGCAGTCGGTAGCAGTCGGTAGCAGTCAGGGCCTCTGACCCCAAATCCAATGCTTTTCCTATTGTACCATGATCCCTGCCTCTTGTGGGCCAGTTCCTCAAACTCTCAAAACCTCAATTGCAACCTTCTTTAACTGTTGTCGGCAAAATGGGGGAAAAGAATATTTCCCACCAGGCTGTGATGAGGAGAGTAATTTGTAAGCCATAAAGTGCTGTAGAAATTCAAGCCGTTCTTATGGTCCAAGATCTCCAGTGAACAGTGTCACATATGAAAGGAGAAATAGCAGCTGAAACCTTTGCCTTCAGACTAACAGCTGGTGGCAAATGGCGATGTCATCAAATGCCGGGAAAGAGAAATCGCATCCATTGTTATGCTCAGAAGATAATTTGGTATTTGTTCTCACTCCCCCAATATGGACAGACTTCACAGACTTGGACATCTAAGAGAAGTTGTCTGGAAAGAGGGAGAGGAAGAAAGGAAGAGAGAGGGGGAGAGGAAAAGGGAGAGAGGAGTAAGAGGGGGAGAAAGGGGGGGGAGAGGGAGGGAAAGGGAGCGCTCTCTTCCATCCATTTGGAATTTGACTGTTCCCAGGCAATGAGGGGCCTGTGAATCTTGCCACCCAAGCAAATGTCCTTTCCCACTGGCCCTGCCCACCCTGTAATCCTCCAAATCTGGGTCTCCGATGAAAGCCAGAGGGAAGAATGGGGTCAGGGCAAGGATCTGAGTCATTCAGGCAGAAGTTGGAGGGGGTAGGATTAGATGAAAAGGGTAATGGAGAAAGGAGCTCAGCCTTCCCGCTCAGGGCCCTGTCTGCTCTGTAGGGGGGAGGAGGCCCAAGCTTGGTTATGCAGCGCAGTCTTCCCATCATGATTATGAAATTGGGTCAGTGGAGGCCAGTGCATGCCTCTCTCTGGACGACAGCTTAGAAATCACCTAGTCCAAAAGCCCCCTCGTTGTACAAAGACCCAGGGCTGGGGAGAAGAAGAGACTTGCTCAGGGTCATACAGTGAGCTGGCAACAAAGCCAGAACTGAGATCTGGGTCTTCTGGGCCTCCCCAGTCCCACACTCTTTACCTTCCACCTTGCTGCCAATACGATAAATACTTTGATTACCCAGTGTACCCCTTCACACACTTCCTGGTCCAACCCATTGGCCTTCTTTCTGTTCCTTAAACACTATGCTTGAACTCCTACCTCTGAATCTTTGCAATGGCTATCCTCCAAGTCTCCAACACCCTTCCTCCTCATTGCCTCCTCTTAGAATCCCCTGTTATTTTTAAGGTTCTGCTGAAGCGCCATCTTCTACATCTTTCCTGATCCCCTCCCCCCAGGTGCTCTCCCCTCACCCTCACCTCCCCGCCCCCAAATTACCTGGCATTTATTTTGTATCTCCCTGTAGAATGAAAGGCCCTGGAAGGTCAGGACTATTTCCCCTTTGTATTTGAACTCTCAGAACCTAGCGAATTGCCCAGAACACAGTAGGTGCTTTATAAATGTTTGTTTGCTTCTCCTACTATTGTGAGTACAGAGGCAGGGTTATATAGTGGATAGAAAGCTAGCCTCACAACCAGGAAGTCCTGGGTTCAAGTCCAACCTCTGAAACCAACAGGCTGTGTGACCCTGGGCAAGTGAGTTACTAAAGCTCTCGATGTTTCGGGCAACTCTCTAACCACAGCTGCAGAGAAGATGTCAGGCTGTAGGGGTAGAGGGAATTTCTTCACTCAAGGATTCTCTTCACCTCTGAAACTCCAGGTCTAGTCTCTCCCCTTTCCCAACTGTGTACAGGTCATGTTGCTGGGTGTTAGGGAAATGACCCCTTCCCTC